GTTCTCTTTGTTACCTGATAGTGATACTGTGGGGAGAATCGATGCTGCTTTAGAAGCAAGTGCCATCGCAGAATCGGCACTAATTGAAGCAGATAGTGAGGAGGTTGCTGCTGGGCCATCTCTTGGTCATCTTAACTCAAAGAAACGGGAACAGTTAAAGGAAGTTCTTGCAAAGTTCCCTTCTCTCTTCTCAGGGGATAAAACTCAAGTAGGTTTGGTTCCTGGTGTAACCCATAAGATCGTGACAGGTGATACAACACCTTTATGCACTAGACAGTGGCGGTTACCTGAGTCAGCCAAAGAAAAGATCCGGAAAGAGTGTGACGACATGTTGAAAGCTGGTATCATTGAGCCGTCAACATCTCCATGGCTTTCACCTGTTGTATTAGTGAAAAAGAAGGATGGTAGTTTACGCTTTTGTGTAGATTACAGAAATCTGAATTCTGTAACAGTTGCTGATACATATCCTCTCCCGAGGATTGACGAACTTGTAGACGAACTCAGGGACACTCAGGTCTTTTCACTTCTTGACAGCCGTTCTGCTTATTGGTCAGTGGCAGTAGAACCTGCTGATAAACCCAAAACTGCATTTAGTGATGGTTACCGTCTCTTTCAATTTCGCAGGATGCCGTTTGGGCTTTCTACAGCACCAACGACATTCCAGCGCACCATGAACATCGTACTTTCCCCAGTTTTAGGTAGGCACACTCTTGCTTATCTGGACGATGTTGTAGTTTATAGTCCTGACTTCAAGTCTCATCTAGTACAGCTTGAGGAAACCCTTAAAATTCTTAATAATGCTGGTTTTAAGCTTAACATGGCAAAATGCGAGTTTGCAGTGCAGGAATTTCGATTCCTCGGATTTAAAGTAACACCCGAAGGTATTTTGCCAGACCCTGAGAAGGTGCGTAGTATTGTAGATATGACACCTCCACGAAATGCAAAAGGTGTGCGCCGCTTTCTTGGTGCAACAGGCTTCTTTAGAAAGCATATACCTAAGTATGCTGCTATAGCAGCACCATTAACACAGCTAACTAGGAAGGATCAGCCATTTAGATGGGGTATTCGTGAACAAGAAGCCTTCCAGTCTCTGAAGGATAAATTAGCCTCTGCCCCTATATTGCAGAAACCCCGTTTTAATGACCCCTTTGAGGTGCACACAGATGCATCACAATTAGCTATTGGCGCATGTTTAATGCAGAGGGATATTCATGGCAACCCTTCTGCAGTTGCATACTTTTCCCGAAAACTCCGTGGGGCAGAAACACGTTACTCTGCAACAGATGCCGAAGCTCTTGCCGTTGTAGAAGGAGTCAGGGCTTTCGACCCTTATATCTATGGCAGGCAGTTTACTGTGTACACTGATCACCGTCCATTAGTATATGTTTTTACAAGGAAGACCAAGAGCGCTCGAATGTCACGTTGGGCTTATGAGCTATCTCATTATCAATTCAAAATCATTTATAAGCAGGGAGTGCAACATAAAGTGCCAGATATGTTATCTCGTTCCGTCGGGCAAATTGATCTTGCTGATGTTGATCCCACTGCTATGCGGGAAGAACAACTTAAGGACTCATTGCTCCTGGAGATCATCGAGTATCTGGAGGAAAAGAACATGCCAAAAAAGAAGATACCTTTGGCTCTCGATGAATTTTCTTTGCAAAATGGTGTTCTCTATCATGTTCGTGAGTTACCTGGGCATGTAGTACATCAGTTGGTAGTTCCTCGGTCATTACGTGCAGCCGCTTTGAAGCTTGCACATGATAGTGCATTCGCCTCTCATCCTGGTGTATTTCGTACTTATCAGAAGTTAAGAGATTTATTCTATTTCCCGAACATGTTGCGTGATGTTAAAAGCTATGTTGCTTCATGTGCAACATGCCAGCGAAGGAAAGGTACTCCACACAGAGCCCCTTTAGCTGCTGCACCAGAGGTATCAGCTCCCTTTGAGAAGGTGTCAGCTGATCTTGTAGACTGTGGCATGTCAACTGCTGGGTATAGGTATATTCTTGTTCTGATTGACCATCTGACACGATTCTTGCAGTTAATTCCAGTCCCTTCTAAGGAGGCCGAGGTGATTGCAGAGGCTTATATTAATGACTTCTTGACAATTTTTGGTCCACCACGGCTCTTGCAGACAGACGGTGGGTGTGAGTTTACAAATAGGTTGTTTACCCAGGTCTGTAGTATTGTCAAAACTAAGACTCACCTTACCATTGCATGTCACCCACAGGCTAATGGGATGGTGGAGAGGTCGAACAAGGTTGTCAAAGAGGCATTAGCAACTCTAACTGAGCGACATCCATTAGAGTGGCATCAGTATGTTCCTCAGGTTCGATTGGCATTGAACAGTGCTTTCCATCGCTCGGTAGGTGACCAGCCACTTTATCTTCTCATGGGTCATCATGGTCATTTCCCTGTAGGTCTCTCTAATGACGTGACGTTTGCAACAGATGCTGCAAAGGAGTTTCATGATGCTTTGCAGGAAGCGCGGTACATTGCAGTAGAGACGTCGCGTCGGGCTCGGGAAACATGGGCTAGGAATTACAACAAGCGAGGTAGAAAAGTTCCTGAAATGAGTGTGGGTTCACTGATCCTTTTCAGAAACTTCCGCAGGCTTACTGGTCCTCGTAGAACTTTGGGTTCACGCTGGGATGGGCCAGCTCGTATAATGAAACGTGTTGGGCCTGTAACCTATATCACTCAGGATGTAGAACCACCTTACAAAGAACGCAGATTACATGCTAACCAAATAAAACCTTTCAGGACACCTGATGAGCTAGCGTTCGTGAATTCACCCAACCCACAGTCTGACCCATCTGTTAACTCACAGCAGTTAAATCGTGAGGAGGATGCTGATATAGATCCTCGGGAAGTACTGCTTCTATCCTCTGTACGCCCTTGCTGAGATGCAGTACATAGAGGTTTCCTTTATTTTTTTATTTGTATATATGTATATAAACTGTATGTTTTATTATGTTTTATGTTTGAAGTTTCGTATTTACTTTTATGTTCGTAATGTCCTTTTTGTTTTTAGTACGTTATTTTACATAACTTTTACCTTTTAAGTTGTGTACCTTTAATTTAATGTCTTTTAGTTTGTAAGGCCTTAGTTTTAAGTTTGTTTTTAATTTGTAAGCATTCTTTTAGTTGGTTCTGATCGGTTTTGATTTGTTTTAATTGATCATTTTACCGATTTTATGTTCCTTTTAGTTTATTTATTATTTTAAGAGTTCTGGTAGTTTTACTTCGAGGGCCGGCTCAGTATACACAGCCTTTATAATTACTGCCTTTTAATATCCACAGGTCCTGCCGCTGCGAGGGAGCCGATGACAGCGGCCCCAGCCATGTATTTTGGATGTTCTGTGAGTGTCTTCCACAGATTGTCTGGTCACAGGTCTCCCCATTCCCACCGGTTAGGAGATGAGACAGGGACACTATAGCTAGCATGAACGAGTGGTCGAGGTGGACGGAACGGACGGGATAGACGATGTAGACGAGAAGAACCTCGGCTGTTGCTGCTAGATGTCCTGGAGATGGGAGTGTGAATGGTCGGCTCGTCGCTGTTATTCCCGATGATGGCTTCGTATTTTCTGCGCCAGACCGTCACGGACATGGGCGGGCCCGGAGCGGAACCTAGGGATACCATCCAAGACTCGAGGCGAGTGGAGGCGACGCCCCGACATTCACTCCCTGGCCATGGGAGGGGTTGTCGTGATCAGATTTGCGGACGGAATGACACGCATGAACAATAATATATATAGAATAGTTAAAAATAGCGGAACAAAACCAGATCACTGCAAAAGGCGTGATAACCAGATAAACGACCAAGATTTAACTGTGACAATGGTATTCACTAAGCCACAAGTACTTGAGCAGGAAAAAAAACTAGTGAACTATGTAGTGGCTAATTACCGCGAAGGTGAGGATGCGCACCTGGGGGTAGCCCGCCGAGAGACACACTCGAGACAGAGAGAGGGCAGGCTGGGGTTCGCCAAGGCAACACGCTGTCGCCTTTTGTGTTTTTTTTTGTGTACTTTACTGAACTTTTGTAACGGACTCCTTTCGACAGCGGATTGCAACAGTGACCTGTGATCTGATATGAAAAGGTAACGCTAATTATATTGGTTTGTGTATATGTACGCTGTCACTCTCCCAGTAAAACACCAGAACTCGCCCTTTTATTTTCTTTTTCCGATTTTACCTTGTCTTTTTAATTTTATCAAATAAGCAAAAGAATTGTGGAAGAGAGGAACATTATTTTAGAGAATAAGTAAGGGCCCAAACAGTGTGTTCCCTCATGGTAAAG